GATAAACACCAAATTGGGACGTGTATGGTAGGGGGCGCTCACCGATCGTTCTTACGGAACTCACTCGTTCCTTTGTGCCTTATGGACTCTCTCTCGAGCCCAACCAGCAGCCGCACAGCGGCGCATGATATAGACAGAATGATATTACCGACAGTTCCCCTTGTCTTTGTCGGTAATATAATTCTGGGACGTATATGTCCGCCATAGGCGGAGTGACGGGAGTGGCTTCCACTGTGAGTTTTTGGAGTGCTGGGTCTAGAACCGCCGCAGACTGCCGTTTAGTTGTGATCGATAATAATACTTAAGTATTACAGAAGAAGAGGAAGGACAGCATAAAAGACAGTGTGGGCATGTTTTGCATCACAAACCAGGCACACAACAACGTCAGGTGATGGCACACTCGAAGTTTAAATCATGATCCTAGTGGGCTCCCCAATCTAACTGATCGGATCTTATTTTGTAGCCGTACGTGCAGTAGACCTGCCCCAGTCGCCTGTCATACGGGACCTAACCCCTAACCGCAGCCCACAACCCTTAAACCCTATTCCTGTCCCTAAGCCTAACCCCTAACCCTTAACCTCAACCCCACACCCCAGCCGCCAACCTCTAATCCTAGTCCCTAGCCCTAACCCTCTACCCCTGACCCCTAAGCCTAACCCCTAACCCCAACCCCTAATCCTAACCCCTAGCCCTAAGCAGAACCCCTAACCCTAACCCCCGACCCCTTACCCCTAACCCCTGACTGTAACCACTAACAGGTACGGTTACGAAATAAGATCTTGCCATCTTACTCGTAAAGCTTCTCCCAGTAAGTCAAAGAGCAAAGTAACAGTGCAAAAATTCCCACGGAAGGATTTGGAGGAGTAGTTAGCAGGCATATGCTCGCTAAGTCACTATGGGCCGCTGCGTTGATGACGTCTCTACAACCGTCACTAGAGAAAACAAAGTAGCCACCCTTCTACTCGCTGGTAATCAGGCATATCCGTCGATCGAGTCTACGGTGGAGGTGGAAACGGCAGGTTCGCTCTCTTTCCTTGATATCCTTCTGAGCAGAAGACCTGACAGTGGCGTTCGAAGGAGCGTCTATCGGAAGAAAACATGGTCTGGACAATATACGGACTCCGGCAATTTCGCCTCCATCCAAAATAAACGCAATCTAGTTCGTGGTTTGGTGATGGAAATTTTGTTCGGCGGGCATCATGTGGATCCCAGAGTAGCTTTTTGTGCGACCCTAAGCTGCCGGATCGCGGTTGCTAGCAAGGGGATGGAGGACTGTCATCAGGTTACGAAAGACGGTCTTGTGCCTACAGAAGAACCTCCTGCAAGCTCAGCGTTTACGGTGGCCAAAGATCGCTTAACTGCATGAAGTTCTCCGCACTCGTCCGCTCCATTCCCTCTCCCTCTGACGCGGCTCTTCTTAGCCCCCCCTCTCCCCCGTATTCATCGCAGGACGCTCGCGCACACTGACCCCCTGACGACAACGTATAAAATCAAACGTATGCTCGATAGCTACTCAAATTCAAAAAGTAGCGAAGTAATTTTAACTTCCTACAGGATGTCTTGAGGCTGGAGAAAGAGGGGAGGCAACTCACCGGAACGAACTTAACTGTGTTCGCACTCTACCAAGGAGAGTTAAGACACATTGCAGCATGTCGGTACATAAAATATCTGAACAATTATAACTCCCATTATCCCTTCAGATCCAGTTGATACCGAAGCTACTTTATCCAGCAGAACAGACGCAGTGCGAACAGGCGGTGGCCAAGGAAACAACAACCCGAAGGCGGTCAGTCATCTGTCACAACCCACCAAAATGGTAAATGCCCATTGGCCCCAGCCAACGACTCGTCTCCGTTTGATGCAACCTAAGGGCACATTGTCACACCAAAACCTTAGCAGTTGTCTGGGAAGTAAGTTGCAATTATGGGGACTGAAGCTACGTCGGTAAACCTAGTGAAAATGACAGACTCGTCTACACGAACACCAACAGGAGACTTGGTGGGAAGATTCGAATTGTCCATAATTTTCATGGTCCAAGTGTGGTCAGCCTAGGCCAGGGTATTTTAAGGCCAGAACAGTTAACTCTTGAGGTGTGGCATTCAAATATAAGTTCCATCAGAAGTCATCTCGACTTTGCGGCAGTTTATAGGGCCCTGCGATATCACTTACGTATAAACCGAGACAAGATGGCCACGTTGAATTTTATAAAACTGCACAAACACAACCCAACAATTCACCCGATGGACGGGTTTCCAAATATTTTCATGTTCCACACCTCTAAAAATTTCCTCATATATTCTTGCCCCCTCTAATACCGTCTATAAAAATTTTATAATCAAATTTTATAATAAACAAAAAAATTAGGGATTTTTTTGTTCCTATTTATCGGATAAGAGTTTCAGATCGCAGTACTTTGCTGATAACGGCAGTTCGCATACCTGTTTATGCATCCAAAAGATGCCTTGATTTCTGATACCCGAGCATGTCAATATAGACAGCAGTGGGTACTTTGTAAGTGCGAAATCTCTTGTTTGATTAAAAAATTCTGATTTGTTTCCTAACATAGCACAGGTATTATTAGTACACACGGAACCAGTAATTTTGATGTTCAAATTATACTTCGCAAAGAAGTCCTTCACACTCCAGAAGACGTCTTTCCCTTTTGTGGAGGTCTTCGTTTTCCACAGAACAGGTAATCTTCCATTATTGCTGTGTCGTGTACATACCTCCCCAGTGAAATATGCAACATCATTTATTTCATCCAACTGAAGAGAAATTTTTAAGGGCCTTGGTCGAATATCAACGACAACTTTGGTCCAAAATGTTCATAGTCAATTTACAAATCCGGCTTTGAATAACATTATTTGATAGTGGCACTAATTAAGGCTCGTTCGAGGCCTCTTTCACAAAAAATGGTTTCCATTTCCAATGAACACAGTTGTATCAAATCGTCTGCAATTGTTTGGGGACTCTTGCATTTGGCTACTTTGTACGCCGCCTAGTACGAAGTCATCAGCAGTGGTTTTCTAAATGGCATAAAATCTGATTTTGAAAGGGTTGTTATAGAGTCAAGTCGGACTCCTTAAGCTTTCACTGATTCAACAGCATATACTGCAAAATCTGCACCACCATGTAGGTTGTGGAAATTTTCCTGCAGTCAAGGCAGCTTCATATTTGCGTTGGGCAAGACAATTCCACAAAGTATGCCGTGGGGTTGGTCTGACGCATTAGAAACCAAACTTCACACAATCGTTATTCCAAACTTTTATCCGTGACATCATAAAGTATTAATAATAACTGAACCCAAACATATGGATCAAGTTGATTAGAATGAAAACAAAAAAAGTTAAGCAATATAGCATAAGTACACTCATTATTTATTAGAGACAGAACAAAAATGAGCTAAATGACGCATGAGAAGTAGCTAGCGTACATGAGGTTGCAAAATGCTACTGACTTTAGCAGTAGGGCGGCAAATCTGCTACAGGCGCACGCGCACAAATGTCGTGTGAGCAATCTTTCAGATGAATATTCAGTTTATTTTAACCGAAAACGAAAATATTATTTCCGACCCACTCGCGCCCCTGCTTGGGAACCCCTGCTCTACAGCAAAGAATGCCGTGGTAACTCAACCCCCCGCCATTACAGTGATGACCTGTAATGCGCTCAATCGTCAAGCCCGCCAAAAGGCCGAGTCGGCGAAAACAGCAAAAAAGGACGATCGGCCCAAGGTCAACTAGGCGCAAATTCATTTGCGTTTCTATTCGATAATTGGGGATATGGAAAAAAATCGATGATGACTCATGGAAACTGAATACGTCTAGACAATAATTCAGGACAGAATGTCGTATCTTATGGGTGTTGCACCTATGTTTCAATCGCCCTCCATGTGAGTCCTTCGAACCATGTAACCAAATAACCGCCGTCCGTCGAACAACCTTGATATCGACGTCGCTAAAGTGGAGATCTTTTCCTATGGAATTTGTACGCGCGAAGAAACACAAGCTGGACCTACTACTGGGAATGCCAAACAATAGGCAAACAATGGAAGAGCACTGTTTCTTGTGTCCATCCCACCCTCCCCCAGCAGATGGGGCAAAACTGCAGACCAATTATGGAATTCGGGAGATTTCTGCTGAGATACCTATCATCCGGCCTCCTATCACGGCCAGTTATTCGATCTGAAAAATGTCTAATGAATATTCACATACCACCTCTTCTGCCATGCCGGTTTCCGTACTTAGCTGACGTAGGGAGTTTTCATAGGCTTCGGTGCTGAACAGTAGTCAGTTCAGGAGAGACGGCCTAAAGTTGACGACGGCAGTGTTCCACTTCATTATACTGACAACACTCTTCAGTCTTGCCTGCACCTGAGGGCCAGACATTGCCTGTCCAAGTAGACACCTCTTTTCCAATTAGATTGTTAACAATATTGTTAACAATCCTACTTGAGGAGCGTTTACCTGGACTGTCACCTCAAATAACTGGGCATCATGCTCGCCAAATGTACTCTCGCGTCAATAATGTCCTTGTGCACATGGTGACAACATACGGTTAAGACAGTTGTCATTGGCTCAGATGCTCGAATTTCCGTAAGCATTTTGAAGTAATGATTAATAGGACACAGTTACTGTTATGAGACCAGTGGGGTGGGTTGGCTCAGCCATCTCGACGGAGAGAAGAATATGTGTGCATTGCTGTCGTCCGTACTTGGCCTACTGATCATTTGCGATAGGTGTGTATATTGCAGTATTCGGAGTGGCTTTGACCAAACAGCCAAATCCACCACCACCACCACCACCACCACCACCACCTCCTCATCCTCCTTCTCCTCCTTCTCCTCCTCCTCCTCCTCCTCCTCCTCCTCATCATCATCATCATCATCATCAACATCATCATCATCAAAAACAACATGGTTAGCTAAATATGACGTCATCCCGCGAAAATATATGCAAAGAAATGGTAAGAGCATGAGACACATGCTTGGGACTCCTGTCCCTATTTAACTTGTTGGCTGGGTGCTAGAAAGATCGTCCGCTAACTGTGCTTTCGGGCCACATGCCAGGCCTTCTGCAACGTCAGATTACTTTTCAGATTTTTCACTGCGTAGAGCTTGGTATCGTCTGGTGGCCGTCGGTTGGCCTGCAGCAGAACAACCCGTTCTTTATGGTCCTCTGTCAAGAGAGCGCTGTCGACGTCGTTATGCACGTTGCAGACACCAAGTCAGGGCCTTATCATTATCAAATTTAACTACCGAATACATCTATGGAAAAGTCTGACTTTACAGTCGCAAGTTCTACGAGTAAAAGTGTTAAAAAATTTACATCTCAAGAAGGAATCGTTGTGCATGGAGAGTGTGCAATAGGGTGATCAAAAAATTGGCCGTCGGTGTTCAAGGGGACACATTCACAACTGATGTCTGAGAAGACAACTGTTGATGGAATGTCTGCTACATATGAGACTTTGAACGCGTATAAAGAGGAAGAGTCAAGAGATCTTCTAAAAGGATCCTCATGGTCGAGGAAAGGGTGATACTCCGTGTCAGGGGCTGACACGGATGTCAGTCTGCACGGCCTATGTCGGGTAAATGCCACAAAATCGCGCTGTTTGATTGACAGAACATAACCCTTATACTGAGATGCAGTCAAACCACATAAGGATAACCGAACGAATGTTCTGACCCACCGTTTGTCCGTTAGGCTGGGTAAATATCACGCCTTTTCAAGTCAGTCAGTCAGTCTATCTGGGAAAAATAAGCTTACGCCTTTGAACTTCCTTTTTGTACACAAAAATCGAGAAAATTAGCAATCATGTGAAGAAATTACAACATCAAGTGAATGTGGATATCTGTTCACACAGGTCACTGGTTTAATGTTTACTTAGTCACATTATCAGCTTGTTGCTGCCGCATTAGTCTGTCAAGCCGATATCTAAGTTTTTCCACAGAGTGAGTCATTACTAGTGCCTAGGACAGGTTATTCCACGACGCAATGACATAGAGAAAAAATGCTCTCTCACACCAAATCTTCCTTGGGACCCACGCAATTTGATATGATGTTCCTGGAGGTTACTTGTAATGGCGAGTTGGAAGAAGTCTTCATATCGGAGGGCGCCGTCCAAGCCCCGCACGCTACGGAACATTTGTGTCAAGTCTCCTCGAATCCACCTATAGCTAATGAGACAGAAATTAGGATTATTTAGGCAGATCCCCCATGGCAGTGTACGGTGATCTTTTCCAAATTTTGTGGCTCGCCTCTGCGTACTTTCGAGTAGACTTTAATCCTACCGCACCCAGGGTCTTCAGGACTAAATCGCATATTCGGGATGCGGCCTTACAAACGTCCCAAAGGCTTTGGAAAAGCACTTTCTACCAAAAACTGTGAATGTCCTCTTAATGGCGTATGGCACTGAAGCTGCAGTCTTAACCGCCTTACAACCTTGTGTAGAGGGCTCTAGGGGATGCCTGTAAACCAGACTCCGAGACCATTCTGTGTTTCTGATTCTCGGAGTGGCATTCCGTTCAGATGGTATTGCCGCGTGCTAGGAGTCTAATTTCGATTTCCGAGGCGCAGTATAGTTCATTTTTTTTCACATTAAAGCACAGTACGGCTTCAGACCTAAAGCACTTGCTTATATATTGTTGCCCTTAACTAAGTGGTGGACTCATTCACTGCTCGACATCGATAAAGCCGATGTAATCTACCCCCAGTTCGGAGAGTCGTTCAACAGCGTTTTGATATAAAATGGTCGACAACTTGAAGTTGTCCAAGTCGGAGGGCAGGAAAGATAGTAAGCAGAACATGGTTTGCTGAAGGGATGTACGATGCACGACGCTAGTCTATAATAGGTGCATTCGCGGCTGCAAACCGGAGGCTGTAGGGATCAGAATGAACGAGGAAAAAGAAGCCTCCTTGCACATTCTTTAGGGATGGTGTGGCCAAAGGTGGTGGTGGCGTTGAATGTCATGCAACTGCCACTCAATACAGATGCGTCTAACCTCGTCATCGCCACGTATAGCCACGTTAACAAGACGTGGCCGAATGGTGTTCGTTCTGGCGGGGTATATGCTCATCTGCTGTATGCCACTGCACATATATTCAAGATTGAATCATTGACGGTAGTTTGTGCTTGGATCACAAATACTGAGGACAGAAATACTGATGTATAAATTGATGTTGTAGTTTTTCCTAATATGAATAAGAAAATCTAGGGCGTGAGGATTATCCACTAAATAAAAAGTCTTAAATTGACATCATTGCAATAAATTACCGTATTAATTTGTCTTCTGTTAATTTGTATTTTTTTACGTAATAGATATGGACCACATGTACTACCTTGCATATGTCAGTGTGTCGTGGTTGTGAACGAGCTGCAACAAGGACCTGCTTGAATATATTTCGGACTCCGTTGGAAGGTATCGGACAATGGCGTCGTAGTGAATTGGCCTCATTAGATTGAGACCGCCCCGTTATATACTAATATTGGGAGTTTGCTCTATGTAAAACAGATAATAAAAAATAGGTAGTTCAAAAATGCAACAACTACATCTCCCCCTGATAAACTGCTCCACTGCTCCAAGGTAGCCAAGTTCGCGATGTCAGTCCTTTTCCCTTGTCAAGCGAGCTTTCTCTACCTTCGACGAGAACTGCTTCGTTAAAATCTTTCGGGCATTCGTACGGTCACAGTTACAATTCCTTAGTCAAGCATGGAAACCCTGGACACCTAACGACTTCAGCATCCTTGAGAAAGTTCAAAGACAGGCAACCAAACTCGTTAGTGGACAGGGCTGAATTCCTTACGAAAGACGGCTTTCCAATCTCGGCCTTTTTCATCTGAGTTACAGACAACTAAGGGCGACCTGATACAAACATTCCATATAATGGGCGGCCAGGACGGCTGTGTCTTACCCACTGATTTCTTTGAATTGGCAACCACATCTAAACTCCGAGGTCATCCACTGAAACTACGTGTGACTGGCGCCAGGCTGGACATGTGAAAATTCTACTTTTTAAACAGAGTGGTCGAGGCTTGGAGTGCCCTGCCCGTAAATGTCATCCTGTCCACATCTGTCAAGGCTTCTAAGCGCAAAATCGGTCAGTATACCATTAAACGTCATAATGTTACCTGAACGATATCGTCTTAGCATTTCTTTACTGATGTTATTATATTGCTGCCTGTGCTTCAGTGACGTTTATTTTTTATGATCATCCCAAGTCCGTTGAATGTGAGTGTTGACATTGAATTCATCTCAGAAACTGAGATTGCACCATTTATGCATAGACTGACTACTGTACAGCACATTTAGTAATGCTAGTGTTCATAACACTTGGAAGAATTTGTTTATCTGACTGGTTTCGAATAACCTCTGCAGCTGTTTGATGTTTCCATTTTCAATTTTTTCGATATAATTCGCTTCCTTATAACAAACAGGGGGTTCAGAGGTTCAGCACCCATGTTTCCCTGAACTAAACTAAACTGAAACGAAACCAACAGATGTGGTTGGGTGCAGTCGTCACGAAAATCCCACTCAACTTCGCTCTGTCAATTTTTAAATGGCACTCATCTTGTCCGCAGGCAGGAAAGGGCGCATTCCCGAGGCTGCTATCATCAACATAATTCAGCTGCACAAGGCCAAAACCGAAATGTGTGGAGCAGCCACGTTAACTACCCTTCTATACACAGCTGCCTCAAATTCGCATTCGGATGTCCTCAAAAGGGTATTCACAAGAGGCATTTTCCGTCTCTTCTTCCGCCTAATGAATTGAGTGTCAGGGAAAAGTGCCGAAAAATGCGTGTGAGCACATCTCTGGGTTATTGTAAATGTTCCGTATACTAAGCGGCATCAGAACTGATGAGCGTATCCTCGAATTCGTCAAGGGATAGTTCCGCCAATGGGTTGGAGATCTGGGTGTCTGTTCGTATTTGTTCTACCTGTTTCTCTAATTAGGTAGAGAATAAATCCGGAGCATTCTTCACAGAACTCTCCCAGATCAATGAGACGTGGGACCCTAAGCGATCCCTGTGTTTGCAGGCACTAGATGAGGTGGATGGCTTTCGACCAAGACAGGTCGGTTGGCCATGAGGCTCTGACTAAACAATTCTGAACAAGCATATCTAATTCGGGCCTCGTTGTAAGACTTTAAGAACGCATTTGATGGCGAAAAATATCAGCCGCTGATTGGCCGTTTTCCTCTTTGTCTCTGAAGACGGATTCTAAAGTAAGCTCATGTAGCTTTACACTTTTTCTCGAGAAGGCGCGTCCCGGTAACCTAAATATTTGTCTCATATACGTAGGCAAGGCGTGGTTGTGATAGCTCAGAGTTCAAGCAACAGGCTGGAATTGGGGCACGGTGGTAGGATCCAGACCTTCTGGAAACGTGTGCTAGGTGTGAGGATTGGCCAGTTCTCAGAGTCACCCTATATAACTTGACGGAGAATCTGCTTTTAACCGCAAGTCATCCGATTGCATTATGCCTCCGACATCTGGAGGCCTTCTTCAGCGTAGAAGACAATACCCTGTGCACACCTCTGCGACGTTGAAAACATTCCACCCCAAATAACCGAAACCAAAAAGCCCGAGGTGCTCGCCGCTCTACCGCCAGCCCTCAGTTGTGCGTAGGCACAGAACAGGATTGTCTACTGACAATTAACACAAATCATGCAGACGTGCAGAACCGTCATCGAAGAGTATTGTGCCAATCGTATGACGCAGTGATAACCGTCATAACCAGGCGAGCTGCATAAACACGCTGTTTAACGAAAAAAGGGACTACAGAGGATGCAAGCAGTACTGATATGGCAATGTTTCAGACTTATTCTGGTCGCGTTTGGCCAATCATTACTCTGACCACCAGGTAGAACTGTAGGCTAAAATAGTATTTGATACAATTGATTTTGATTTTCCTCGAAATAGTTCGATCTTCAACCCTTTGACGGGAACAGTATTGACCAAAGTAGGCAGACATTTGCAGATGGATCTGTCTTGGGTAAAGACAAATCCAATGCCTTTCCAGACGGTGTGATTAAGGTACAGCCCATAATCGGAATCTGTCTCGCCTGGAACGAATGTGGAAAAAAAATCTCCAGGACGTACATTCCCTAAAATTCCTCCGTTTACGTCACGTGCTCTGGCGAGGAACACGAAGGAAGGGATTCTGAAGCACTCTGAGATACTCGCAATTGGTAAGCCGAACCGCAGAATCCCTTTTTGAGTCTTGACTCGCGCTTCGCTGTAATACAGTCGTTTTTTACGACGGTAGATGACAATAATAAATTTCTCAAAGTCGCATGACAAGTTCACTCACTGATTTACTCTGCTTACAGTACAGAGATGGACATTTCTGTTTTATCTTGGAGCTCCGGCTGCGCCTAACTTGACAAAAGGAAGACTGGGTCCCTGACTGCGATTGGGGCTTATGGATAATAGTTTAATTGTAGCTAACGACTGATCTGTACAGCCGTTACTTGTGCAACAAGCTGTTTATGAAGAAGCAGACATACGCCGTACCTACCGCATGCTCTTCCCGCGTTTCGAGATCATGGCACCGCCTGACTAGGGACTAGCATTGTTGTAGTTTATTGGAAATTCCGCGGAACTCAGGGAAACAGATTTAGGTCCGTGAACTTGGATCGCAATCCCGCGATCAGTGTGTCGTGTCGAATGACCTTTGTATGTTGGTTTTTGGGCTGTGTTTTCGGCAAACAACCGTTTCACCTCTTTCACTGGTCTGGTTTTCAATAATAAACAATATTGGTGCTTTTTTCCTATGTTGTATAATTTCCTTAACCAGTCCTCCCATCTTGTAAACGCTGATTTATCCTCCGGTTCTCAAATATTTTCCTTGCAAAATTAATTTATGATCAGCTTTTGTACTCGCTAACGGACGTTTTTGCCTATAGAAATCCTTTTATCTTTAGTCGCATCTTTTGTTTTTGTAGGACATTGATATGTGTTAAACTCGTTCAGCTCTTGCTGTCAGAGATTAATCTCTGACTGGGCATAGCGTACCACGATCAGGCGATGCGCCTGCGGACTACTAATAAGGGTTAGCCGATCACATAATGTGGCCGCTGACCCTGTGTGAGTGTAATGTTACCAGCGATGCTACATTAGCGTACTAGCAACTGAGTAGTCACGTATTGGCGGCCTTACTTTCACTGCGAGCGCGCGGTTAGCTATTTAATTGACCGAGACTGCACAATTTAGTGGAGTAACGCATTTATCGGTGTGATACTCCCAGATTCTCTGCCGCCTACTCCGCACGCCAAATGTCTTTATCAGACCGCGAAATGCTTGCGTAGACTGCCATGGCATTTTGTCGCGCTCTATAGATAGTACGAAATCTGTCCAGTGCATGCATCGTTGAGGCCACGGACACCGCTCGAGAGAAGACTGATGGGTAGATCATGCCTTACAGGCACTGACAATAGCCAACCAGCTATCAAGTTAGCTGCAGATTAATAAAGTAGCTGTAGTAGGAGCCAACAGAAAAGCATAGTTTCTTGTGATCGGAGGTGATGTATCAGACAGGTGCACGTGTATTGCACGCTGACCAGAACTGCGAGAAGGACGGAAGATTCAGTAGTCAGGAGGAGCTTTTCGATTTGTGGAGAAGACCTATGACAAAAAATAGCAGTTTATCTCCATGAAGGTCGGACGGACTACGCTTAGCTGTTGACAAAGTGATTATGTTGGTAAATTGCATTTCAAAGTTGGAGGTATTTCGAGTAATGAGGCACTGGCAAACTTGGCTAATGAGGTGTCTGGCGTTGAGTGACGAAGTACATAGGAATTTATCTTAACTGGCAAGAGAAAATTTTGAGTTCTGTATGGTGTTTCTGAAAGCCTCGCATAGCCTTGACAATAGCAGCTGCCACGAATGAAGGCGAAATTTCGAGTTGCACGTGTATGTATAAGTGAAGAAGAAGAGGGGTCGATCACCGGAACATTTTGTTTATTGTCCTGAGTTTTCGGACTCGTGCAGGAGTCCATCGTCAGAGATAGTAGCAACAACAGAACAAGCGACAGGTATAGGGCATGTAGGCAAATCATCGACCGATGGCACAACAGTGGAGGTGACTGCGCAGAACTCTTTACGCCGGCGCCAGATCGATCGAGTGAGTTCTCATCCGAGGCCCAGGCTTCAATCAATTCTCGGCCTGTTTTGTTTCCGGTGTGGGCGACTATTTTGATGGCTGTGAATTTAAACTCGTTACCCATTTCGTAGGTGTGGGCGGAAACTTGTGATAATGCGTCGCCTCGTCGCGCAGCCAGATTATGTTCGTGTATGCGAGATCCGAGCATGCGTCCAGTCTGGCCTGTGTAGTTACAAGGACAATTTTGACACGGGATGCGATACACCACTCCAGATTGCTCTTCAGGCTCTAACCGGTCTTTAATTTTCATGACCCTATTGTGCATGGTGGCATTGTGGAGGTGTGCAATTCCAACACCTAGGTCCGTAGCAATGCGCTGGGTCGCTTCTGAAACGTGCTAGATTTATGGCAGAGAATGCCATATCGTCCGTGGTGCTGATGTTTAAGCTCTCTGGGGGCGACCGCGTAGGCAGCGACTTATGAATGCCCTCAGATAGCTATTTAGCACAAACTGGTCGCGGAGATAACGGGCCTCACGTGCTCTGCCCTTTGGTTTGCTGCCTATAAAATAAAGATTAATCGGGGAACGCGTTTGCCTAAATCTGACTTATTTCACTTCGAGTGGAAGTCATAGTGATTCAACGCGAACTTTCCCTAATCTTACTTGAATACTTTTTGTGACTGAACCGAAAGATTAGGACGTAGATGGCTTCTGGCGGCATTCGCTAGGATTCCGAGCCTGATTTGCGTCATTCCGCTATGTCATTCTAGTCCTCAATTGTGAGTCCCATGTAGTTTCCTTATAGACCCAAGTAGTTCAAATGACATGCCGATTCGGAAGTGCAGAGAAGTAGATGCATTTAATTCGCCCCTCATTAGCCTTGTCGACGTTCCGAAGAGAGTTCAAAGTTTTAAAACTTTTGTTAATGTACATTTCACCCTCAAACACCGATTCACGAATTCGCTCAGAACTATTATGTTCAAATGTTCATCATCAACCAAAAACTCGACTTGCTTAATAAAGTAGCCTTCCAAAAGTTTGTTTGCATCCCAGAAACTCTGTTTCTGCGTTTAATTTGTTGTTAACCGATGTCCTCTTCAATTTTCTAATGAATTTCTTCAGGTCGCAAACGGTAACTGCCTACATCCAGTCTATGAGCTGGGAACGAACGAATTTTGTCGTATTGTCGGGAAAAAGAAAGTCTGGCAAGGACTATGTAGCGCATCAGTTGTCCACCCGTCTTTCCGCTAGTGGAATCTCTGTAAGCATAATTCATCTGTCGGAACCCATCAAAAGGGCCTATGCACGACTCCACGACCTAGATATGGACCTTCTTATGTCGTCCGCCGCCTACAAGGAGGACTACCGCGCAGAAATGGTGCGTTGGGGCGAGGAGCGGCGGACCCAAGATCCTGGAATCTTTTGTCGAGAGGCTCTTAATCAGGTCCGCACCATCAGTGAGCCTCCAGCCGTCATCATTGTGGCCGACGCCCGTAGGCCCTCAGATCTTTCCTTCTTTCATCACATCTCCTCCCCTTGCCGAACAGTCCTTCATCTGCGCATCTTCGCTTCTGAGACGACGCGTCGCGCGCGGGGCTGGCACCCTGTGCCCGAGGTCGATGAGGCTGACACCGAGTGCGCACTGGATGACGCACCATATGACCTCCTTGTGGTTAATGAAAACTCTGAGAGCCTTGATAAGTCTATGGCCTCGGTAGTGTCGTTAATACTGAAAAGCGTCAATATTTAAAGTATTTTCTCGCTGTACAAAACTTCTTCCCCATGCCCGCAATAGATTTTAACACTTTCGTTTCTTGAGTAATATCGATTTTTAGTCTTGATTATTCGTTTTGTGTTTTCAACTAAACGTAACTGTTTGTCGACCTAAAACCCCTTGACCCATATAATATCTCCCGTATATTGATGACGGGATTTACTGAAGTATATGGTTGCGTCCTTAGCCCAGTCTGTAGTCATTATACGTTGGTTTCCGAGGAAGTTTTTGGCCGCACCGAATGGTTGAAAAGACGAGTTGCCGATTATGTTCTGGTGCTGACACGGATGCCAGGTCACGTCTCCTACTTCCTTGTTGACACGTCTTCGAGACTTCAATATGAAACTGAAGAATTCTGTCCTAGGTGTCGAGGCTTCCGTTTGCCTGTATTGACGGCCTGCTATGCTGGATCCTCGCATTCGCAGAACCATATCTCCTCATCAACACATTATGAGTGAGTCACCCAGTGGGTGAAGTAGATCATGATACTAATTTATATATGCCTTTGGCAGTTAAAGGCTGACACCCTTCGATCAGGGCATGTGGCCATAGTTAACGGAGTCGGAATTTCCGACGAAGAGTACGAACATGGACTATCAGGCGACAAATGCCAATCGGTAGTTATTCGCAAGTTCATTTTATTTAACGATTAATCGGTGACATGGAAATTAATTGGCTTGCACTGACACTATTTTCGGGGTTTTCATTAGTCGGCATGTGTAGGTTATGTGTCGAGATGTAGCTTACGTACATATTGTACTATTATTGGTTCAGCGGCACTCCTTTGGGCCTAAAGTTACTTGCTCGCTGTTTACTAGTATACGATGGGACCACGTCCCTTTTGACCGGCCCTGCGTAGAGAAGCTAACCCGCACCGTTTACTGACAAGAATACGGTCTCCTGATATATTTTTAAGAAACTGGTCTGTAGAGACCTGCGTGCAGCCTGATACGTGGGCACTCCAGAAAATATGGATATATATATATAAATCGGCCCTAGAATGGCTGAAGTGGTGACATCAAATGTACGCGACGCCCAGTCTCGAGCAACTTATTCACACTGCTGGTTCTTGGTCCTCTACTTATTTGTAGTTGGTACGGCTGCGATCTTGTCTGGTCTATCCGGTCTCGGTGGTGTCACGGACTGTAGTTCTCCACTCGTGATGATCCGTGGCAGCAGATCTGGTCAGCTCAACCCATTCTCTTCGCCAGAGACGGAGACCAAATACCGAAGGTCCGAGAACCACTCACATGTCATGACGGATTTTATCGAATCAGGTCTTAAATTGGTCCCCTCTTCGATGCTTCCAAGTGGGTAACGGTGTCGTGTCGAGGGCAGTAACACTGAGCTCCTGAGGTGGACGACAAAGAACATGCCCGAACCACCGCAGTCGTCTTTCTTGAATGGTCTGGGATATCTTTGCGATGTTGTCGTAGCGCGTGCCCACTGTCTCATCTGTGCGAGCCTGTAAATATAAACTTTCTCTTGAAGACCGGGTTTGACCATCTGTTTTTCTGTCTCCGAGAAGGACAATAAAGCCTCATTACCTATCTTGCCATTGTCATCCAGTACGACACCTACTAAGACTGGGATCCGGGCTGGGAATTGATTCACTAAGTAAATATGCCATTGTGATGCATTCTTGGGCTCCACTTAGGCCACCAATCACGGAAGATTGTCCGTTCCGCTGACCTCGTTTTAGCGCTGGACTTTTTTCCTCATGGTTCCCTGCGACGGCGATGTGTTGATAGCAGTTTTTTTCCTCTTTAGTTAAGACCTGCTATGAAGGAAGAGACACGATCGCTGGGACAAGAGCTTTATTAGCCTGACGTTTTAGATTCCTGTTCGAACCCATCATCGGAGACAGTAGCAGATACGGGGCAGTTCATGCACACGGGGCTGCAGCATTTATAGGATGCAGTCGCCATGCTACCGCATACCTATGAATATTTACCGCTTCCCCTCCCCCCTTCATCAGGGATCGTTGCACGTGGCGTGATGGCCGACATTCGTGTCGTTAACTGTTGCAATTTCATCACGTGCGTTGGATGTTGGTGTGATGAATGCCCGATCATCTGACGCCCCGACCCCGGTATTGGGAAAAGTGTTAACCTGTGCGCTCCCCACGTGGCTAATTACTTCGCCTAGGCGAAGTCTCAGCAGGGAGGATGGAAGGGGAAGACCGTTGCACTTGTTAATGGACTGGGGGGAGGGGACAGTGAACCGTGACTCCAGCAGCTCACGCGGTTGTCACCTCTAGCGATAATTTCGGCCTCGTCGAATTTGAATGTGTGGCCGGACCTCGTTGAATGAGCTGCAAATTGAGAGCTGACGTCATTTCTCCACATCGCTGCAGTTTGTTCGGCCGTTCGCGTTAGGAGTTGTCTTCCAGTTTCTCCGACGTAGTTGCTTTATCCGCAACCGCACCAGATCCGATAAACGACTGCAGACGTTTCTTGCCGTTGCAGTGGGTCTTTCGGGTGCATTACCTGGCGACTGATGTTGCCTTCGGTCTGTGTGCAATTCTTACACGTTATGAAATTGCAGCAATTAACGACGCAAATGTCGGCCATCAAACAGTCATTACTCCAAGTGCAACGATCCCTGATGAGGGGCGAGGGCCGTGGATATTCATAGGAATGCGCTAGCATGGCGACTGCATCCCCTTGTGCATAAACCATCCGTATCTGTTTTTGTCTGTGATGATGAGTCCGAGCAGGGATCCGAAACATCTGACGATCCGTCCCAGCGATCGTGTGTCCTTCGTCACGACTGCTTCCTAAGATTTGCTTCTTCGCTTCCATTGGTAAGAGCCGCCATCTCTCCACTCCTTACTGGATTTTGGCTTCTAAGAGATTTTTTCGAAGCGTTTGATATTCGGTTTGGCGTGCAATAAGCGTCAGATCCGCATGAAGGCGATGACCTACCGATCTCGACTATGCTGACGATATCACCCTGGTAACGTTAAGCCACTTTGACCTACAGCCTATAGTCTATCAGCCGGAAGTAATGAACATTGCCATGGACTCCATGACGAAGTTGCTGTCAAGTTTGCAGGTAAAGACAACATTGTCGCTTGAATTGACACTATCTCCTCGGTTTTCACGAACATGAGAGGATGTGCGTGGATCAGCCTGTGCTGGGCATCTGTTCATCCGGTCCTTCTTTACGAGTAGAGCATAGAGTTGTCTGACCGCCGCTGTCCGAATGCTAGCCTTCTACTGAAATACTCTTTCCCCGTCTCAAATGTGATAGCTCGAACTTTCTGCGTAAAGACCGCGAGGATATCTGACTTCTAATTTAAGGAACTATCATCTCTCTGTTGAGAGATCGCAAAAACCTCGTTACCTTTATTTTATTTTTGACCTTCCGATATCATAAGCCGCAATTTTTCCATCTCAATGTGTCTTTCGATTTCTAGTAGACGCAGTTTGCTGAGCTCTATTTCAAGTCGCTGTCGTTCTAAATCTCTTTGATCTAAAGTGATTGGTGAAGCAGGTTATGAGTGGAGCGACAGATCCGGAGGGCTGTTATCTGCCATTTCCTCGGACATGACTCGCATAACTTTGTTAGTGTTCTTTGGATTTTTCCGATCCAGTGCTAGTTTATTCACCGGAATAGACTCACCCGAGGTTAAAGCTATGTCAGAAGACTGTCGGGATAACTCGGTTATTTTTTGTGGTTCTATGGCAGTAAACTGTAAGATTGGCGGAGAACGATAGAGTTAATAAGGCGACGTTCGTTCGAGTTGATTAGACGAGCAGTCAGCGAATGACGCCAAAGTGGGGTGGTCGGTTTAAAAGCGAGCGGCGACAAAGAGCAATTGACAATGGAAATAGAACGATGAACGAAGAATGACGAGAGCCGACGAATAGGGATACAGAGACAAAGAGAGGGTGGCATGAGTAAGGTCTGGTTACTAACAAACGGTTAGTAGCAAATTAAAAACAAGAATATAAATTGACACCAGGGAAGTCACACCCCCCGCTAACTCGTCTGATGGACTGGACGTGACGGCTGCCACATTAAGTGTGAGTAGTTCCCCCACTGTTCCAAGAAAACAACAAATTGTGACACATTCATCATGACTGATTCATCTGCTTTCCGAGGACTAGTTGGCGAACAGCAACAGAACAAACGACAGTTATAGGGTGTTAGCTAACCATCGATCGATGACGCAAGACTGGATTGGCGACAGATTTCATCGCAGAGGTGGTCCTGCAACGGTTAGGGTCGCATGTCTTTCAACACCACAGACCGAGGTTTTGGGACCGGTATGTGAGTGACGCCTTTGTCGTTATCTATCGGGGCTCCACTGTTGACATTCAAATAGTGTCTGAATGCGGTCTTCCCGGACATACAATTTACGATGGAGGAGGAAGAAATCAACCAGCTGGCCGTCGTGGATGTCCTTATGTGCCGCAAAGATTGCGGTACCCTAAAGACCAAAGTGTTCAGAAAAGCCACAAATACAATGCAAGTAATGAACTTCAACAGCAACCACCCAATCAGCCACAAACGCAGTTGTGTAAGGACGCTCCACCGGCGTGTCGAAACGAATTTCAGTGGGCTGGAAGACAAGATTGCCGAATTACAATACCTCCGACGGGTCTTCAAAGCCAATGACTATCTGAAAAACTTCGTCAACCGGCACATACACAAAGTGGTCAAAAGACCCAATCGCACGGACCCCAAATCTTGGCGAGCGCCTCCGTACGTCAAGAACGTTTCGGCAGCCGTCGACCGCCTTGCATCACTTGGGGTTGGAGTCGCCCACAGACCGGAGACAACCATCAGGCGCCAGATAGTGAAATCGAAAGACCCACTGCCACAACAAAAAAACCCTCTAGAGTCGTTTACCGAATCAGGTGCAGTTGCTCACAATGTAAGTGCGTCAAAGACACCGGATGACAGCCCCGAACGCGAATGGTTGAACACGCTGCAGCGGTGCGAAGAAATGACGCCAGCTCCCAAGT